CATATATATGATATAGTTGATTTGCTCTCCTTAAGTAGCATTGTTCTTCAGAAAACCACAATCCGAACTGACAGGCTGCAATTTCTACACCATTTGTCATAGTATGGGCTTGTAAATAGCTCAGGTAGATGGTTCCAGGATTAATGGCGCCCTCCGGACACTCACCACCCTGACAATCTCCTCACCACAGCTCCGCAACCCTTCCCACGCGACAAGAGGACGCGGATCCCTGCTTTCATCTGGCGGTTGCTAGGCAGCGGAAACCTAGCACTTTTCTGCACTGTGTACTCAGTATTATAAAAATACGCCCTGGGTATTTAGGAGCTATGCCTCTGATAGATTTAAGGCATTAAAGAAATGTTTGAAATAATTTTTCAAACATTTTTTTGAATAGTGAAAGTTTTTGTTAATAGGGAAAGTTGCCAGTAAAAAAAATGGCTGCCGGTGAGAAAACCCCTGCAACGAGCCTTTTCTCAGGTTTCTTTTCTTTTTGACGAACGCTTAACAGCTCTATTTATTTTTTTGGGAGAACAACATATTTTTTTTACAGGGATCTGAGTGATAAGACCTGGTGTACATTCCCAAGGCAATGTAGTTTCAAAATGTTACTTTGCCCAAAAGCAAAATGGCCGATAAGGCGCAAATAAGAACAGGAAGTTCAATAGAGAAAAGTATTTGTATTTTTTTAAAAAGCAAAGATATCAGTTCTTCGGTTTCTAAGAAAAGACATTTTAAAAGCGTGTGTGCAGTGAGCTGAGCTACTTTGGTTAGTTTATGAAGACAATTAGCTGCCCTAAAACAAAATGGCCACCGAGGGAAAAGCGAAACAGGAAGTGTACAGGTGAACAGGGTTCCCAGCTGCAGCATGGACAGCGAGGAGTGTGAAGAGTGGATGGTGGAGTCTATAAAGCTGTGAGTCGGTGTGAGGGAAGAGAATGCTAATATGTCGTTACTAAACAGGTTTCGCTATATGTACACTTCCTGTCCAGGTATGAGCAGCCCAGGGTTCAGCTGCTTAGGGACTTCAGATCCCAGCTTGCCTTGCCAGACAACCAGGATGCTCTGGGTATGCTGGGAGTTGCAGTTCCTCTTGCTATCTGTAAGTTCACAAACATTGCACTTGATAATTGTTCTAGCTTGCTCATATGGTTTCTCAGTAAAACAAAAAATCCCCTAGCCAGCTCAGGAGGATCTATGTCTACTTAACACATACATGCGCATTCCAACAGTGCCATGCATACACCTGTTTGTCTGTCCCTCTGTTGTAATTCATTGAAAACTCTGTATAGCTTGTTCTATATATGGTTTTTATGCATTCAGCAAGGTGTTGATTGCACGGTCTGATATATGGATAGTCAGTAAAACGTGCAGCTCCAAATCTGTATGTGCAGTAATGGTGATATATAGTGAAAATGAAAAAAAAATCACATTGATTATGAAAGCATTACAATGATAATTCAGCATGACTAATGAATAAAAAAGAAAATGAATTCCCTGTAATCCACTTTGTATCTTCGCTGCTTTGTTGAAGGTATAAGGATTTACATGATTTTGAACTTCAAGATCCGACCCGAGTCATCGAATGGATTGGTGAGAAAAGTAAGTAAATCTTTAGGTTTGCTCCGTTTACATGTTTGACTGTTGTGTTAATAAATGGCAGACGTAGGCCTAGTTCACACATGCATTAAAATAAGGTGATAGAGAAGTGTTTTTAGAAAAGAACTGTGGCCCAACTTTTTTTTACCCATAGTTCTCTTTAGGGTCACCGGGGGACATATACTAACGTCCTCCTTTGACCCAAAACTCAGCATATAGCAGGCTATTGCCCGCTATATGCTGGCAGCACTGTGCTGTAGCTGGAAGGGATCCCAACAATATTGTCGGGAACCACCCCACTGGCTGATTGACAGCTGACTCTGCCTCTCTAGAGCCAAAGCCAGCTCTGCCTGCCCCTCCCCTGGCCGTCCCTCCAGTTAGCGGTGGAGGATCTAAGAGGGAAGGGGGGAACCCCTGCGGGGAGTGGTGACTGACGGTCACTGTCCTCTGCAGGGAGATGGTTGGGAACTGAACGATCAGCAGTATGTGATCGCTCAGTTCTTGACCAATGGAGCCGACGTATGACAGCTCAGTGTCACGTTGGCTCTAATTATGGGGATGAGTGCATTTCCCTCTCCCCATAATCCTCCTTTTAAAGCCCGTGGAAGCATCTGTGGCACAGTGCCATACACACATGTGTGCTAGCATTGTGTTGTGACACGGTGCATATTATATCTTGGCCACTTGGCAACTGCCTCCATTCATGTCTTTTGAAGCACACTGCAGCCGCATCTATAGTGGTTACTCCGCTTTTGAGAAGCATTTTTCAGGCACTGGGGGAGAGTCATTGGAGGTTCTGAAATCCCAGAAAGCACTGGGAAATGATTGAGAGGACAGCACAGCTCTGGCTACCACTACCTCTCTGCACACTGCCACCTTTGCCAATCACAGAGTGCCTCTAGCCACTTCCAGCACCAGCCATGTGCACATGTATACCCTTCTATCACTTCCCCTTTCAAAATATAACAAGAAACCAACAGAACAGAGGATCCCAGGAACAACAGGGGGTGGGTGTGACGGAACAGCAGGTCCAATTCCACACACTGCCACCAATAAGTGACAATACCCAGTCTCTACCCACTCCTCTCCTACTGTGCTGTCACCAAGACGTGACAATATCACTCGTAGCCTTACCCAGCACAGAGATTTTTCAGCTGGTGGGACAACAATCTAAGGCCAGCAGACTGAGCGCAATCGTCAGTGGGGTGACGACTGTCGAAGATGGTAACTCCTCTAGTTCTGGCAAGAGTTCCTTTCTCTCCTTTTGCATCTCCAAGTCGGACAGTGACGAGAAATCTTGCTAGCAGTGCACAGACAGGGGCTTTAAATCCTTTCCTGCTCTATCCAAATTAAACATTTTGGGTATACATGCACTTTAAGTCCCTCCTTGTTTAGGCATGTTTTCATCACAGCAATTGTCTAACATTACTAAAGGTAAAAACTAGGGCTGTACCGATACTGAGTATTTGGGTGCGTACTCGTACTCACCCCAATGCTCCTAATGCCTATCCCGATACTGGAACTTCTGGTATGAGGAAGCCGGGCGGAGAGTCATTGCACGATGCCCAGCTTCCTGATTGGCCGGGAAGCCGACTCCATGCTCCCTTGTTACCAGGTGACGAGGGAGCATGGAGGTAATCGGGAAGCCGGACAGCGAGTTATTACACGCCACCCGGCTTCCCTAAAAGAGTACTATGGGGTAACCTTTTTCTATAATAACTTCCTCCCGTGACCCAAAGCTCAGTATATAGCGGGCTATTGCCCGCTATATACTGAGAGCGCCGCAGCCAGGACGGATCCCAGCAATACTGTCAAGATCCTCCCAGCGGGCTGATTGACAGCGAGCTCTGCCTATCTAGAGCCAGAGCCAGCTGTGCCCTCCCCTTTCCATTCCTCCAGTCAGCGCTGGGGGTCCGAGAGGGGAGGGAGGGGAATCCCTGCGGGGAGCGGTAACTGACAGTCACCACTCTCTGCAGGGAGATGATCAGGAAGTGAGCAAGCGACTAAATCTTTCACCTCATAGTTCTCCTTTTAATGGGACTTTCGGTATCCGCGAGTACCACAAAAAGAAAAAAAACGGTACTTGTGCATCCCTAGTAAAAACACTCCCGGGTTTATTACATTCTCTTTCCTTTATACACTTGCAGGTATTTGTGTAGCTGGCTATGATGACACTAAATCAAATGAAATCCTGCAGCTGCTTGTTCCACAGAAACTGCAAATAAAAGAAAACCAGGTAAGATGCAGGTTTTCATTATTATCAGCACCACGGCTTTGTGGAGTCCGCTGTTCAGGTCCCAGCAGGGACATTTGTATGTTCTACCTGTGTTTGTCTAAATGTCCTGCCTCCTCCTACACTTAGGGAACCAGCCATGTCGGGGCTTCTGAAGACTAAACTTTTAGTCTAAAGTTATAATTCTGATTTAAACTTTTATAGTTACCTTTTTATAATTAGCTTAAAGCTGGCCACCGACAGGTTGCGTTTCAGCCTATTCCTGCTGACTCGGCCAAAACTCGACCTGTGGGTGTCCCTGTTGCCACCACTCACTTCTATAAAGTGCCTTTTAAACTGCCTGAACCCTTGCTTATAACACATGCTGTCTTCCAGCCCCTAAGTAACCATAATAGTATCAAACACAGGGTTGTGTTATGTGGACACACACTAAGGAATAGTGACCCTTATTCAGAGATTCACAACTCTCCTCTATCCACAGATGCTTTCCTCTTGTGTCTGTGGTACAAGGGTACATAAGAAGCTGACATAAGCAAGGGTTGGAGAAACCTAATTGAAAGAAATGGCGGTCAAGGGTTGGGAATCGCCATGCAGATAATCGGCTTGATGCCATGAGACACTGAACAGAGTCATACATTAAGTAGAGGTAAACCCAAGCTGAATGACAGTTTGTTTGCTAAAGCTGTGTATGTGTATATATATATATATTGAAAAAATTTTGGGTGTCTCACCAGTCAGTAAAAAATGTCACCAGCCAGCATGACCGGACTATGGCCTTGCAATTTATGTTAACATTTTTTGGGGACAGATAGAGCTTTCTATTGGAGGTATATAATCACCTGGGGGGGGGGGGGGGTTTTTTTTTTAAGTCGAAAAAAACACCCATAGGTGACGCTTAAAACGCTTTTACTGCTCATCAGTTTAGTGTTATCAGTGATTGATGGCCCTAAAATTATTGCTCTCACTCCGACGTTCGCGGCGATATGTAACATGTGCGGCACAATAGGCGCAATCGTCGTCTTCGCATGTAGGCGCACCCGACGCATATCTGCGTGAGTATGTGGGGGGCGGCGACTTTAAAAAAAAATGTTTTCTTTTTTAATTTTTTTTATGCTTTATTTTTTTATGATTCTTTAATTTTTGTATTACTTTTTTTTTTTACACATACAACTTTATTGCTATTACATGGGAGGGCTAAGAAGCCCCCCAATTTACATGACAGGTCCTCTTTATGGAGACATCCGGGGTCTCCTAGACCCCTAATGTCACCTAGGGACCCCCAGAGAAACTGATGAAGCAGAGATCGGCTTCATCAGCTTCTGTAGCTGGAGAGAGACACTGAATGAAGGAAGTGATGTAATATACATCACTTCCTGCATTCGGGGACTGAGAGAAGATCAAAGGCAGACCGTATACTGAACTCCCTTTGATCTCCTGTCACAGAGCCGTCCTGGGCACATCGGATCTCGGGACCGGCAACGGCAGTGACAACTGCTAATACTAGCGATCGGGCGTCTCTAGAGACAGTTGGAAAACGAGGACAGAAAGTTGTCACCCGATAGCATATAGTGGATGAACAAGGATCTTTACGGCAAGTTTGCCTTTTATTTTTAAAGACCGCTGTAGATCTATACTGCATGTACATTGAAAATCTGTTTACATTTTGTTTGGCATTTTGTCTCAACTGTATAAAGTTGTTTTTTTTTGAGTGAATCCTTTTTAAGTTTGTTTCTTACCTGGAGATCCTGCCAGTAACAACACTTCTTGTTGCAGGATGACCAGGCTAAGCCACTACCTTGCAGCTGGCAACAGCTTTGTCAGCCTGTCATGTACACTCCTACAATAGGCCTTTGTGCTGCCTATCAAGTATATCAAATAGACAGCTCAATATCCAACTGAAGTGTGCACGGCAGGCTGACAACACTGATACTGATTACGAGTCAGTGGCTTAGAGTCACGGAACATGTTGGAATACATTCACGGGGGTGGCTGGGGATTCCTACAGAACGAACCTGTGGATTCTTGCGTCACGAATCCCAGGTGTGTCTGTACAGATTCAGCTACTGTGCCGGTTCAAGTTAAAACCAGGCTGACAGCGGCCGCATCTGTCCGCATGTAATCATACATGGAACGACTACCTGTGCATTGGGAAATGTGCTTGCCCTTGGACACAGACAGATTCTATCCCAAACTACAAGTAATCGTTCCATTAACAATTACATGCGGACAGCTGCTAGCAGATGCTTTCAGCCTGTTATTCACTTGAATGGGCACAGCGGCCACATCTGTATGGATACACCTAGGATTCTTGACGCAAGAATTGGTAGGTTCTGCTAGAAGGTGTCCACGTGTAATCATTCATGGAACGATTACCTGCAGTTCGGGACAGAAAAAGGACAAGCATATTACCCAAAGCACAGGTAATCATTCCATGTACAATTACATGCGAACAGATGTGGCCACCGTCAGCCTGTCATTAACTTGAACGGGCACAGCGGCCGCATCTGTACAGACACACCTGGGATTACTGCTGAATCCGTAGGTTCTTACTGCAGGAATCCCCAGCTGCAGCCGAAAAGCCCCGTGTGAATGGGGCCTAAATGTAAATTCAAAAGTCATGTTCAACATTCACAATCTTCAATCTAAACATTCAAAATAATACCTGCTGTTCCGTTCATGGAGCTCCCTGTTCAGGCACTTCCTATTGACAATGCTCATTATCTCAACTGCTCTCCTACACTGTCACCATGTCACATGCACATCCAGTGGAAACTACAGAGCTGGCTATACACCACTAGAATGCCATTCCAAAAAATTGGTTTCAGAACGTTCATTCAATTTTATAATAGTTAATGGGGTCAAAGCGGCGATCACTTTCAGCGCTAGTGATCACAGAACAGAAAGAGCCAGATGCAAAAACTTTTCCTCAAATAACAGGGAATGTGGTTTTCATTTGAGAAACTCCATTCAGAATTAATTCAGAATCAAGTGCTAAAATGTAGGGATGCTCCAATACTAGTATCAGTACCGATACCGAGTATTTGGACGCGTATTCGTTCTCGTCCGAATGCTTCGGTGCCGGAACTTCCGGCAGTTCTGCGAGGGAACATGGAGACTGATTGCTCGCCACCCGGCTTCCTGATCCGCTTCGTGCTGTTTGGCCAACTCGGCGCTGATTGGCCTGGAAAGCCCGCTTCCCAGCCTATCTGCATTGAGCTGGCCAGTCAGGAAGTAGAGCGGTGGGTAATAACCCCAGCTTCCTGATTGGCCGTGAAGCCTGCTTCCCAGTCAACCAGCATCTAGCTAGCCAAACAGCAGGGAGCTGGCGTCCCGGCCAATCAGGAAGCCGAGTGGTGGGTAATGACCTGCCTCCCGTCTTCCTGATTGGCCTGGGAAGCGAGCTCGATGCCGAGTGGCCAGAAAGCCGGCTTCCCAGCCAGTCAGCATTGTGCCGGCCAAACAGCACGGAACCGGCTTCCCGGTCAATCAAGAAGGCGGGTAATGACATGCCGCGCAGCTTCCTGATTGCCCGGGAAGCTGGCTCAATGCTAGCGGAAGTATCGGTACTCGGTTTTGGCGAGTACCAAAATATACATGTCGGTACTTGCACTCGATACAAAAAAAACGGCATCCCTAGTTAAAACAAAACAACATTTTCGACTGACATTCTACAAGTCTCTGATGGAATGATCGAATGTTCTGAGGAGATGTTCTATCGGTGTATGGCCAGCTTTGGTGTCTATGCCAAGGCTCAATGCACATTCCACTGTTGTCATGATCAGGAAGCCCACCTTGAGAAATGATCTGCAGAGTGGGCGCATGTGGACAGGAAGTGGCTGCAGGTGATTGCAGCACTAAGATGTAACCAAGAAGGAAAAAAGTTGAAAACAGTATTTCATGGAAAAAACATATGGCGTTTGTTTGCTTTAGCAAACCAAATATCATCCAGTTAGAGTTGAGACCTACTTTAAATAACACTAAATCAGACTATAATTTCCTGTTCATTTCAGAGTACACTTGAACCCACTCTGTCATAGTGTGGGTGATGGAGAGCTGCTTAGTACACGGGCCACGGACCATAATGGTTTGTTTATGTTGCTCCCGTTTCAGGTCTGTCCGGCTGACCATGCGACCTTCCCGTCTGCTATTGTTCTGTCCTGCTCGCTGGCTGTTTTCCAGCCTGTAAATTTCCACGTAGACACCATTCATTAATCTACTTTCACTCTTATGTCTCCTTTCCAGGGTTTGTGTCCCGAGAGAGATCTGAAGGTTGAACATGGCGGATTCACACAGTATCCTGTATACAGCCTGAAACATGTCCCTGAGCACAGGTATTGTTGCTTAACCCCTACATGACTAGAGGACAGTGACTCCTAGATGTGCAAAACAAATGTAGCGGTGTCAGTGAAGAGGACAGTCATTCTGGGAGATTAGTCAATCTTAGCCCTCATTCACACTGTAATCGGCCGGCACGTACAGCTCCATGCTGCATGCACGGCCGTATCAGGCAGCTCCCGGGAAGGACAGGTGCTGCGTGTGATTTTTGGGATAATGTGAATACGCAGACGTACGCCCCCCCCTACGCTTACCCGCCCTGCACGTGCGTACGGGTGCTGGTGAGCGTGCTCGTACGCTGACGGGATGGATCCTGTCTGCGTCCGAGCCAGGAAACGCGCACCCCTACGGATCTGCATTTGAGGTGAGCGTAGGGGGCCGTACAGCTACATAGTCCCATAGATAAGGATGGGGGTTGCCTGCTAATCACACGCAGCACCAGTCCTTCCTGGGAGCTGCTTGATTCGGCCGTGCGCGCAGCACGGAGCTGTACGTGCCGGCCGATTACAGTGTGAATGAGGCCTAAATGTTTAAAAAAAAATGTAACACCCCTTCCCACTGCCAGGGCCCAGCCCTTTAAGGACATCCGGAGGCATTTCCTGGGCTTCCTAATGGTGTGATTGGCTGCCATAGTGGTCACGTGATCAGGTGCTTGCCCTACCAGCTCACAATTATAAACAGTGACTTGGAGATCGTGGTGACGGCTCAGTCATTGTCCTGGGGGTGTGCCATTGATAGCACTCTGAGCACAAAATGTTGATGCCAGCTGTGCCACCATATAGAAGCGCGCAGCCAGCATTCAAGAACTCCAGGCAAACAAAACAAAAACTTACCTCCGCAGTGCTAGAATTAACTGCTAATTTTGTCTGGGGGGCGCAAAACTGCTTTATTCAAGTGATCTTCGGTCCCGCCACCCCCTTCTGTGCCGCTAGACCTGCAGCCTCTTCTTCCCTGTGCTCCGGCAGTCTGAGGCCCAGTGACCTGCATTTAGACGTGAGGATGCAGAGTGCCATTCTATAGCCGGAGTGGAGGGCGAGAAAGGTAAGCGCTGGCCGCTCTGGGACAAAGATCGGGTGAGTAATACAGCTTTATTTAAATCCCCTAGAGAAAACAAGCAGTTAACCTTTGCAGTGTGGTGGTAGTACCACTGAAGGAGGGTACGTTTTTCTTAGCCTAGAGTTCTTCACCGACATCTAAGACTTATTTAGTAATTGTTTTAATTAGGGATGCGCCGATACCCCAATACTGCTATCGGTGCCAATACACAGCATTTTCACGAGTACTTGTATACCGATACTAAATGCCGATACTGGCCTTTTACATTTTTAATCAAGTTCGGCTGCCTGAGGTCCCGCACTTGCTGGGGACCTCAGGCAGCCTGCTGGGGACCTCAGCTGGCACATCTCCTCCTTTTTCTGTACAACAGGCACAACACTGGACAGCCCGGCACTCCCCTGTACAGATCTGCCTGCAGCCCTGTATAATCATGGCTTGCTGGGATTTGTAGTCCTCTATTGCTGGTTGCCATTCTCCATTGCTGTATTATCATGGATTGATGGGATTTGTAGTCCTCTATTGCTGGTTGCCATTCTACATTGCTGTATTATCATGGATTGAGTTACAGTTCTTCATTTATAAATGAATAAATAAATCAATTATAAAGAAACTGCCCTAAAATCATTAGTCTGTGTGGTTTTAGAAAAAATGTCACATATCCCTTTAAGAAAAAGAATCTGTATCAGCGAGTACCTGAGGGTAAGTACTTGTACTTGGCCTTGAAAAAATGGTATCGGGACATCCCTAGTTTTAATTAAAAACACCTGCTGATGTTTTTAATGACAAATGGACAAAAATACATAGGTGGATTGCTTTTCGGAGAGCAGCAAAGCAGCGGCTCTCCAGCGTGCACGAGGCAACACTGCCTCCTCCTGAATGCCATTGGTGTTTGGATCCCAAGGGGCATTTTCCATTGAACTACTGCGCTACAAGTGCGGCCCTATTTGTGTCTATAGTCACCTTTGACATGGGGTGTCCCCTGCCAAACGCACATGCCGTATCATTTTTGCTGTGACGTGGCAATGTATACAGGACTGCAGCGGGCAGTTGAGGAGTGGTAAAACCATGGATCAAATGTCTGATTTTACTGCCCCCCAGACACTCGTCTTAATGAGGCCGTAGTTGGTATGATGGTATAATGCCGTTAGTCAGTCTCCTATCAGGGGGCACATACGGAACCATAGAAATGGAGGGAGCAGGAAATAGAGCAGCGTAAAGAAGGGGTAGATCATATAAACACATGTCAGAAGGGGGGAGGAGAGCGACCACTGATGAGAGCTAAGGATTGACAATCCCAGTGCTGGTCCTAGTAAAAGCACTTTGCCTTTAGAACCTCTGAGGCTGATTTACTAATGGAGTCAGGCATCCTTACACAATATCATGTGAAAAGTAGATTCCTGTTTTATTTCATATGTACATGAGAGGGCAGGGGTGGAGGTGTTGCCACTCTAATTTAATCAATTGCATGTATAAATTTCATCTTAAAGGAGAACTATGAGGTGAGTGAAAATCACTCATCCTCATAGTTCGAGCCGACCTGTGACAATGAAACTGTCACACGTCGGCTCAATAGATCGGGAAGTGAGCGAACACATACCGTCGCTCGCTCACTTATCAATCGTCGGACACGGGAGGGGGGATTCCCCCCCCTCCCCTGTCCGATCCTCCAGAGCTGAGTGGAGGAACGGACAGGGGAGGGGGCGGGCACAGCTTGCTCTGCCTCTAGATAGGCAGAGCCAGCTGTCAATCACGCAGCTGGGTGGATCCAGACAGTAATGTCGGGATCCGTCCCCGCTGCGGCCATCTCAGTATACCACGAGCTGTAGCTCGCGGTATACTGAGCTTTGGGTCACGGGAGGACGCTAGTTTATGTCCTCCCGTGACCCTGGGGATAACTATGGGGAAAAGCACTGACCCCCATAGTTCTCCTTTTAATGAGGCCGTAGTTGGTATGATAGTATAATGCCGTTAGTCAGTCTCCTATCAGGGGGCACATACGGAACCATAGAAATGGAGGGAGCAGGAAATAGAGCAGCGTAAAGAAGGGGTAGATCATATAAACACATGTCAGAAGGGGGGAGGAGAGCGACCACTGATAAAAGCCAAGCATTGACAATCCCAGTGCCCTAGTGATCCCTGACAATCCCTAGTAAATGCACTTTGCCTTTAGGGCCTGTGGGGCTGATTTACTAATGGAGTCAGGCATCCTTACACTATATCATGTGAAAAGTAAATTCCTGTTTAATTATTTCATATGCACATGAGAGGGCATGGGTGGAGGTGTTGCCACTCTAATTTAATCAATTGCATGTATAAATTTCATCTTAAGCTACTGAGCTCTATAAACAACAGCAAAGCAGTGAGGTTAACCTGGAAAATGGGAAAGGAGCCTGGTGCCCCACCTTTTGGGTGCATACGAGAATACAAAATAATCCCATGCAATAATTCTATACTTGTGTAAGTAAAAAAGACGACATATTTAAAAGGCAAATACTGTCTACACTAAACCACTCCAGATTCCCTTTATTATGTCCTTTGATTCCCTCTAAAATGTTTGACTTGTTTTATGGCTCTTGTCTTATAAAGTCACATAACCATAAAACATTTTCTCTTGATGGCTGTACAGGATTGTTTGTTCAGGAATCTGGAATGGTTCCGGACTTCAGCCCTTCCTGTTATTAAACTCCTTTTCCTTTCTCTTTATATTGTCACATTCAGGGGTGGTCAGCCACAGACCTGGCTTTGTACTATGGGAAGGGAATGGTCAGCTCATGTAGATATTTTAGCCCTATGTGGAGTTGTTCCAAATACTCAGAATCTGAAATGAATAATATATTCAAGGCCAGCCGAGAGTGAAAGAGTTAGAACATATATTGGGGTTTTACTGCTGTCTGTACCTATTGTGTGTGTGTGTGTGTGTGTGTGTGTGTCAGGCTGTCAACAAGACAGGAAGTGAGAGTAAATCTTGCCAATGGAGCATAGACGGCAATAAAAGCAGGCAAGTGAAGTGGTCGGGGGTACTGGTTCCAGAATCGTCATAAGAAGCATTTTAATGAGTAGGGCATCAGCCAGGGTGTACATTTTTTTTTTTTTTTTTAAAGCCCACCTCTGGGCTAACTAAGAGGGTCACCACGGTGTCCTGCATTCACTAGACTCTCAAATAATTTCTGACTTGGTGCGGACACTGTCCTTACTTCTGGAGGGGGGCTACTTTTGTTCCACATGGTCCCGGTGTGTGTTATAAAGTAGTAATCGCTCCAAGATCACTCCCGTGATAGACTACAATCTCAATACAAATTGGTAAGCTAAACATGAGATTGTAGTTCCATCATGAAGTGAGCTTCTGGAGGGGGGCTTCTTTTGTTCCCCATGGTCCCTGTGTGTGTTGTAAAGTAGTCACGTCCTCTCATGTTTAGTTTACGAATTTGTAGTCCATCACGGGAGCGAGCTTGGAGCGGTGACTACTTTACAACACACAACAGGGACCATGGAGAACAAAAGTAGCCCCCCTCCAGAAGGAAGGACAGTGTCGGCACCAATTCAAAGATGATTGGAGGATCTACAGCCGAGTGATACACAAATAAGATACATTTTTTATAATAGTTGAGGCGCTTGAATGCATCTGTAGGATTTAACTCTTGAGTTTACTGTCACTTTAAAAGAGTGACAACTGTCTCATTTGTAATTCTGTGTTGTCAGCCTGTCACATGCGCCCCCTGGTGGAAACTACAAGTGACTGTACTGACACCTGATGTGTGGGCATGGTCCAGTGTTGTCACCATCAGAAAGCCGCTTCAGAGCAAAAATATGGAACAAATGCATGTAGACAGGAAGTGGCTGAAAGAAGCTGCAAGGGGACGGCAGCACTGACGGTGAAAATTGTGTTTTATTGCAAGGAAGAGCATGACGTTTGTTTATAATACACAGTGCACAGAGGAAACGAAATGTCATCCACTTAAGGTTTAGATCTATTCTCCATTGTTTGAATGACAGATGCTTTAAGGGAGAACTTTAGGATTGAAAAAATATTTACCCTTGCCGTGGGGCTACTTCAACACTGCATGGGTTAAGTGCTTGTTTTGGTCTAGGGGCAAATGTACAGAAGGAATATTCACCTGATGCTCAGTCCTGCACTCCCGCTCACCCCCCCTCCACTCCGGCTGTGGATCACATCTAATGGACCTGTATTAGACGTGATGACATCACAGACCACTGGAGCCCGGGGGAAGAATAGGCTGTGGGGCCTGGACTAGCAGCCGGGAGGGACCAAGGATTGGGGGAGTGTTTCTTCTTTATTTTCACCCCTTAGACAAAATGAGTACCTGAGGGTTAACGAGTGTTTCTTTAAGATGATGACCCTTTTCAGCAATGTTTTATTTTGACCAGTTTTACAAAAATCCAAGTAAAGAAACCCTTAGGCTGGGTTCACACCTGGGCGTTTTTCAGTGCTGATGGAAGCGCTGAAAAACGCTCAGCAAGTGAAATCCTATTAATTGGTATGGGCATGGTTGCCACCTGGGCGTTTTTTAGCACTGATGGAAACGCTGAAAAACGCCCAACGCTCAAAATAGTACTTGAGCTTCTTTGGGGCGGATTTCCGCTCGTAAGCCATTGGTATTCCCGAGTGTGGCTCGGGGTTAACAAAGCGGTAACCCAGAGCCACACTCGGGAATACAGCGTAGGTCTTACCTTGTCCGCGATCCCCGCTGTGTCCTCCGGCCGCTGCCTTCTTCGTCGCAGGGGGGCGGAACCGGCGGGAAGTTTAAAAGTTTTAAAAAAACGAAAAAAGATAGAGGAAAAAAAAATCATACCGCCAGGGAGTTTAAAAAAACAAGTGTTGAACGCGCGTTTCATTGAAGGAAAAAACGGGCGTAAAACGCACCTATAGGAACGCCCAGGTGTGAACCCAGCCTTAAGGCTTGTACACACCATATGTTAGTGCATCTATAACATATGCTTGTTGGCATACGGTCATTATTGTGCTGCAATGGTTTTTTGGGGTTTTTTTTTCCTTTTTCCATTACTGTCCATTACTGTATGCTTACATATGACCTATTATAGCACGTCACAATATGCTAAGAGACAATGCAACATTTTTTATTTTTTTTTGCATAGACTAAACCCACACATAAGGACATTAGGGAATACAGCCAAAAGACTACTGGTATGGACCAGTCCTTCTACTGTGGCAGCCTGTGTCCCCTCCATTCTAGCCCTGCTTCCTCCACTAGACTCATCTTCATTGAACACTTCCGGTAGTGTGGGGTGTCTGTATCCCCAGTCATGCTGTAGTTCCATCTTGTTCTGGCCTTCAAATGTGAGATTTGCCGAGAGCAATAAAGTGGAAACCCTGCAGATGAATGCTAATCAGTGCGTATCTCCTGTCTATTCACATCTGCTTTTGTTTTTTTTTTTCTTCAGTCTAATTCTTACGACCGGCCCAGCTTCGGCACTGGTGCAAGTCTGGCAGATAGGAGCAGAGGACAAAGGTAATTGAATAATGGACATGAATTGGATTCATATCACCATTTGTGCTGTTAAAGCGGACCTTTACGCCCAAAAATCGAATTCTATCAATGCATCCCTCTATGTATGATGATTAATAATAACATAGACATGTCAGGTATAAAATGCTGTGATTGTGAAATACTTACACTCGCAGAGCATTCACTTCCTGCTTTGAAAGGGCAAAATGACTTCAGTTTGCCAAAGCAATGCACACTGGGATCGCCTTGTCATCACCAGAGCATTGCTGGGAAATCTCATCTGCAATCTCACGAGATCTCAGGGAAAGGCATTTTTCTCACCTGAGATGATGTGCATGGTCACATGTCCTAGTCACATGTGCCAGAAATCCTGGAAATAAATGGGGAGCTAGTCATCTGCCTTTAGTAAACATGGCCACTGTCAGAAGACTGGGGAAGAAAATAAAAATAAGGTATGTAAAGAATACAAAGCCGGCAATTATCTAGAAGTATGCGTGTGTAGATTGTCTTTACATAAAAATTCTAAAGGTGTGGGTGGGTGGTTGTGTTCCTTTTAAATATATGGGTATAGGTCTGCTTAAACAGGGACCTATAACAAAAATGCAGTACAGCCTTGAAATACAGCAAACAGTTTGGACAAGCAGTGAGCCAAGTCTCTAAACTTCAATACATAAAGCCGGCAGACATGGATACGTTCTGCTGTTGTTTGACTGAACATTATAACAGGATATAGGTGTGATCTTTGTAGCTCTGACTGTGGACTTGTTCTTGGTGCCAGGTTTGGTGGTTGCATAGTGTCAGAACCTGCTGACCTTCTGATAATTGTATGCACTGCAATCTCGAGTTTTATAATGGCATAAACAAATTGAGTCTATAATCATTTTGTGGGTTAAAAAAACATGTTAAGAGAGGACAAAGGAAACGGTCCAGACTCGCTTGCCGTTCGGGGAAGCACCACAGAGAGTGACCCAGAGAAGACAAGTTCAGAAAGGGAAAAGTTTATTTGGGCCTGCAAAATAACTTCATATTAACTAGTTACGTGGAGCTAGAGTGAAGAATTAATATTGCAATGATGGCTGAATAATCATTTCAGACAGCTTTATCTCTTCAACAGAGCAAAAGACAAGGTAACAAGTGTTGAGATTTACCTTTCCATCTACCCACGCTGCTGATCGTTGCTCCAATACTGTGAAATTGTCCCCCAAAGTCAGCTGGGGAGCCAACACTTGCGGGAATGCTGATCTTGTGGGTGACCTGCAATTCTCACTGGAACCTCCACTCATTGCGTAAGACAGTAGTAATGAGGATCAGCCAGTGAGAGCTAGGTGTGACCCAGGAGATCGACACTTCTGGAAGTGTTGGGTTCCCATTGAACACAGGGGACCATTTCACAGCACTGAAGCAAAGTTCAGTAGCACAAGCAGCTGGAAAGTTAAATATTTATGGTCTTCATTAACTGGTATATCTTTGCTGCGTATGTTTTGTACAGCGACCAGGTCACTTTAACGTGACACAATATAAAACTGATTTCCTGCATTGACTTGGTCTCCACTCAGTGGTGGGGAAGAGTGTTTGTTTGGCACACATATACAGAGTACGTCCTCCTTGGAGCTCATAGGATCAACGCCTAATGTTCCTACTGTGGGTGCATCCAGCCTGGGAATCCCGTCTCTTCTGTGATTTCAGCTGTGTGTTTCCTGAAGGAAAGCCTTACTTCATGGTCTCCATCAGAATCATTCAGCATCTTTGATCATTAGCAGCAGAAAGCTGCACCCTGTGGTTTTACCTCCGGTCAGTGAGCTGCAGGGTTTGTCCAGAAGTGCTTTACACTCAGGAACACTTACCAAAGGAGACCTTTTACAGGAAATACTTCAAGGACATAAAAATGCCATGTTTAGAAATCGTAGTTCAAAAGAGCCTGTTGTATCACAAAACAAAGACTTCTGCCATTGTTGTCCTCCAACCGTTGCCTGGCTGTCATGCTGAACATATGGCTGACCTCAACAAGTATGCGAATCAGGACTTCTAAACTTTCTGTGAGATGTCTGATCTGCTGGTGACTCACAAATGACTGAAGCTGGTATAACTGAGGCGACTAGTAATGTCGGGAGGTGGTCCGCAGTGGCAGATGTCCTATTTTTCTCATTGCAAAAGATAAACGGTTATTTTTAAAGTAATAGTAAACCACCAACACAACATTGAAATTTTGGGCCCCCAGGAGGTGTAAGCCATGATGTGCTAGCATGCAGAGCATATTAACACATTATGGACAACTTGCCTTGTAGGAGATCCCCTTCAGCGCTGCAATGCCAGGACTCTCCTCCATCGCCAGCGCTTCCATCTTCACCCAGTCTTTTTCTGGGTTTGACATCTTTGGCCTCCTAATTGGCTTGATAAGGGTTATGTAACTCCCTGTGCCATAGGGGTTACTTCATCTCGGCACAGGACCTTGCCAAGAAATGAGCTGCATAAAGAAAGCTGACCTGAGAAAAACCTTCATAAATGGAACCCTGTGCCTACAGTTACCCACAGTTGATCCAGAGGAAGGCAAATAACTGTTGAACCTGCCTGAAATCTGATCACTTCCTGTGCTTTGTCTGTGCTGCACTCTTAATATCTTAGCGTCGTCTACATAACACTTCCCCTTTATATTATAGAGAGGTGGAGGGGTTTATTAGTTCTAACACCCTTACTTTCATAGGGTGATGACCCTTCTTCTCCAGACCCAGTGATGGAGCATATGTTACCGGAAGAGTCACCAGATGAAAATCAAAGGTTTAAGACTAATTATAAGGGGTGCACAGATACTGGTTTTTCGGTATCGAGTACTGATTTTTTTCTTTTTTTCGGTACATACCGATACCGGAAATCCCATTAAGGAAGCCATGCGGCATGTAATGACCCCTGGCTTCCTGATGATCAGGGAAACCGGGCCGAATGTAAAGATTCGCCACCTGGCTTCCCGATTAGCAGGGAAGCAGTCTCCATGCTTCTCGTCACCAGGTGATGAGAAGGCATGGAGCCGGCATTCCGACCAGTCAGGAAGCCGGGCAGTGAGTCATTACACGGCGCCCAGCTACCTGAGTGGCCGGGCAGCTGGGGGGGGGTTATGACTCCGTCCGGCTTCCTGATTGGTCAGTTTCCCGACCAATCAGGAAGCTAGGCGGCTAGTCATTACACGCTGCCCGGCTTCCTGATACCGGAAATTCGGGTATCGAGCTAGACATCAGAGCATTTGGGAGAGTACGAGTACTCGCCCAAATACTCGGCATCGGCACTAATACCGATAATAGTATCGGTATCGGTGCATCTCTACTAATTATAGAATAAAATGTATGTTTTCATCTTCAGTAACCCTTTTTTTTTTTTCTCAAAACGAACACTGATCAAAGTAGAAAAATGTCTTCATTTTTTTTCTTTACGTATTCATATATAGATTGCATAGAAAATATTTTTGCAAGACAGTATTCCCAAAAGAAGGGTACAAGAGGTCATTAAAGTGGAATTGAACATGTGTTTATTATCTATTAAATTCAATGCAAACGTCTTATTTTGTTTATTGGCCTTTTCCCTGCTAGCATGCTACAGGGGGGGGGCATCTGCTATCTGTGTGTGAGCAGTAGTCTCTCCGCAGCAGTCTTAACATAACCTCCAGTGAGTCAGAGCCAGAGAATTGTTCATCAGAAAGGAGCATATGGTTTCCAGTGTGCTGAAATGCATTCATTTCAGTGGGTCATCCATCACATAGTAGTTGATTTGTCACACACACATCCAGTAAAAATTAATGTAAGGTCAGTAAAAGAAAGCCATATGAAATTAAACTCTTTGTGTCATTGTAGATGTCATTAAGCCCACAAGTACCATTCAGTCGGATGTTGGTAACGACACGTGGACAAAAATAGCTACAACGGCCGCTACATCTCCTCGGGTTCTCCATGGATCTCGCATCAACAACGTCCAGCTCACCGAGCTCGAGTCCAATAAGCAAATATATACACTTGGTAGGTACCAACACAGGGTCAGGAACAATGAGGAGGGTTGAGTCCAGTAAGCCACTGTAACCAATCAGTCGTGAAATCTAATTGCTATGAGTTCCTTTTCATAAGGTCCTTGCCTACTGGCCTCCTCCATTGAGTGAGCGTACTTTACTGCTTTCTGCTGGAAGACTGAATCATGACTAGGGCTGCAACAACTAATCGACATAATCGATTTTGAAAATAATCGTTAGCTGCAGCTCTAATCATGACTGAATAAAGAGAGTGGTCCGCCTTTCACGGTTTGCAGTGATCTGCCCATCACAACCTCTCATTTTCCTTATACAGGCCCGACAGATGTTGCTAAACAAATACATATGCAGTTGTAATGGACACCAACAATAAGTCTTTTCCAAGATTGTTTTGTAGATGGCGATGTTAGATTTTAAAAAAAAATGTTTTTCGCTATATAATCTTCTGGGGTTTTTTTTTTTCAGTTTTCAATTGCAGAATTTGTGTAGGTAAACCCAAAATGTATTTTTCAGTATGTTTGGCATCTTCTCACACCGTGCAGTATACAGTTTTTCTTAAAGTAGACCTTTACCCTTGTTGGCCATAATCACATCAGCATGCTGATATTACATCATCTTACATTCATCAGTTAAACAACTAATTTTTATTTTACTTACAATTTCTTGTTTTCTACTTACTGTTTTTTTTTTGGCACAAGTTATGTAATGTGCCCAAGCGTTGGATTCTGGGAAGGTTACATCAGCAGTGCATTACTGGGAAATCTCATCCGTATTCTCCTGAGATCTCGGGGAAAGGAATTTTCCTCCCCTTGCATGGTCACATGTCCTAGTCACATGTGCCAGATTTCCAGGAAGTAAAGGGGGTTGGATTTCTCTGCCCTTAGGAAAAATGGCCACTGTGAGAAGAATGGAGAGGAAAAGGGAAATAAGGAATGCAAAGAATACAAAGCCGGCAATTATCTAGAAGTATGTGCGTGTAGATTGTCATTACTAAACATTTCTAAAGGTATTTGTTGTTATTTTGAAGATATGGGGAAAGTTCCTCTTTAATGAACTGTCTTTTTTGTGAATGTGTCAAAGTTTCTTACTGGGAAATTCTGCCAATAACCGGAAACTATACATGGACCCATATTGCCAAACATACTAAAAAATACATTTTATAATTTTGTCTGCGGCGAGACTTTTTTTTTTTTTTTTTTTACACTGAAGTTTTGGGT